AGTTACCACTACAAAGGAGCAGAAAGCTTGGAATGCCATTTTCCAGAAGGCAAAAGAGCTAAGAATACAACCAAGAATAACTTATCCAGCAAAAATGACTATAATTCTACCAGAGAAAAAATTTACATTTAATGAAACAGAGGAATTTCAAGTATTCCTAATGAAAAGACTAGAGCTGAACAGAATGACATTTAGTAATAAGACTCAAGAGAAGCATAAAAAGGTAAACATGAGTGAAAAATCACAAGAGATTTAACAAGGTTAAACTGTTTTTACATTCCCATATGGGAAGATGATACATATAACCTCTAAGAACATTATCATCATTAGGGCAGTTTCAAAGAGTCTACTTAAATAGAGGGCATGGAGAGTCTTATTATGGTGAGATGATCTCAAAGGAAGAATGGAAGGGTGAGAAAGAGGGATGCACTTAGAGAAGGGGGAAAGGAAAGGAAGACAACAGAAAGTTCTCTCACATAAGAGACGTACAAAGAAGAGTTTTTTACAATGGAAGGGAGAATGAGACCCCTAAGGGGAGTAGGCAACACTCAGACCTCACTCTCATCTGAATTGGTTCAAGAATAGAAAATGCAAGGAGAGAAAAGAAGGGGGAAAGGCTCAGAGACGAGGGGGAAATGGATTATAAGAGGGAAGGTTAATTAAAGGAGATAGTGGTCAGAAGCCAAATCCATTTTTAAGGAGGGGACAGGATAAAAAAAGAGAAAGATAGATAGAAGAGAATAGGATGGAGGAAAATACAGTTAATTAACTGTGAATGTGAATAGGATGAACTCACTCATAAAACAAAAGATGGCAGAATGGATTAGAAACCAGAATCCAACAATATGTTGTTTACAAGCAGCACACTGGAAAAAGAAAGGGACATACAAAATTAAAATAAACGGCTAGAGCAAAATCTACTATGCTTCAGCTGAAGTAAAAAAGGCAAGAGTAGCAATTATGATCTTAGACAAAGTAAAAGCAAAAATAGACCTAATTAAAAGAGAGTTAATGAGAAGAACAGTGCTACTTTGGACAAAATGTTAATGAAGATATAGAACATAAGCTCTCTGAGAGCAGGGACTGTTTCCTTTTCGTCTTTGTGTTCCTGGGCACCTAAGCTTAGTGTGTAGTAGATACTTTTAAAAATGCTCACTGAATTGAAGGACATTAAATATTAAGAATTTAAACCAAAAATAAAAGTAGAGATAGTGTTACATTCTTAACAGTAAATATCAGTTTACCCAGAATCCAAATGATTGGGAAACACAAATAGCCAGAACTTTTTTTCTCCATATTCTACTTCTATGAGAAAAATACTGAAAAATAAAAATCTTTAAAAAGCAACTTTCAGGGAATATCATAGATTCAGTGACAATCCAACTCATTATCATAAATCTTAACATTTGCAATAACTGATGTCCAAAATGATGACTAGGAGGTACTATATGATCTTGAAAGGCTTTATGAATTACTAGTGATTAAATTATCTTCAGTACAGCTTTAGTATCAAGACTAATTGCCTGAAAACTGGTCATCCAAGTATGGCATAGATCAGGACACAGCCACCTTTCAAAAGCAGTATGCAGAGATCTTGTTCCCTTTCTACCTGGTGTGAATAAATCTGAAAATCCTCTCCACAATCTGGTTCCAATATCTATTTCCCTAACACATCCCTTCTTCACATCGTCTACACTCTAGGCAAATTCACCATTTCCTCAACAAAAGTATCTCTGCATTCCTTGCTTCCGTGACCTTACTCATAAACAACTCTCTATGCCTAAAATACCCTCCCCCCAATCCATCCACATTCTTGCCAATTCAAATGCTTATCATCTTTTAAGGCTTACCTAAATAAATTCCACCTCTTATGTACAGCCCTTCCTGACCCTTCTAGCTAGTAATGATCAGAGGATTCTGAACCTGAGGGATCTTTAGAAATTCTCTAATCATAAGATCATAGAATGAGAAATGGAAAGGACTTCAAATGATATCTAGTCCAATGGTGTCAAAGTTAAAAAGAAATGAGGCACACTAATCTGGGGCAGATAGGTGGCACAGTGGCTAGAATGCTGGACCTGGAGTCAGGAAGACTTATCTTCCTAAGTTCAAATCCAGCCTCAAATACTTATTAGCTGTGTGACCCTGGGCAAGTCATTTAACCCTTTTTGCCTCAGTTTCCTCATCTGTAAGATAAACTAAAGAAGGAAATGATAAACCATTCCAGTATTTTTGCCAAGAAAGGTCATGAAGGTCATGAGGTCATGAAGAGTCTGACAAGACTAACAACTCAACAACAACAACAAAATGCACAAACGGATCCCTATGGGCTGTACATTGACTTGGTTTTAAAATGTGATCTTATCTTTTTTTTGTACTTTTATTTTTTTTAAGTATTACCCAATTACATTTTGATCTGGTTTAGGCTGCACTCAAGGATTAACACCTCTGCTCTAGCCCACCCACTCAGTTTATATATGAAGCCCATGTAGATTCCATGACTTGCTTGGACAATGTTCCAAGAGCAGCAGACATGGGGGGGGGTGCAGAAATTCAACTCATGTTCTACACCAGGCTGCCTTTTTGCCTCTTCACTCTACCTGCCCAGCTAGAATACACTTATACACTTCATCTTCCCCATCCAAATCCTAGTTATGCTTCTAGGCCAGCCTCAATTCCACCTCCTTTCCCAATTATTCCTACCGATATCTTTTCTAAACTTCTACAGCATATACTGCCTGTACCATAAAGCCAGGCCTTGAATATACCATGAACTGCATAATTTTATTGTTCTCTCTCTTTCATATGTGTTTTCATGCATTCCTTGAGGGCCACATGTCTTCTACTACTTCTTCTGTACCCTTGCTACCTACCCTATCCCAAAAATGTCAAGCCCATTACTTCAACTTCAAATACTTTTAAAAATCTGTAATTTTATCTAGGTGGTGCTTCTACCACCAATGAAGACGACAACTTCTTCATACTTTAGTAAACAATTTTGTGAGTTGCAGTGGCTAAAAAAAATTCACACCTGGTGGACAATTTTCTCGTCCAATCCTTATTTTAGTAATTAGGAAATGGACTTGAAGAGGGGAGGTGACTTGCCCAAGGTGAAACAATTAATTAGCAGAGCCAGGGTTTAAACCCAGGTCCTCTGACTCTCAAACACAGTACCCTTCCCATTACTTATCAGTATATTCTCCATCTTCTAGATTCTTGTATCCCTTTGTTTATGCTTATCATGCATTCCTGTATTATATTTGTGTATATTTCTTATTTACCCTCTATAAAACCATTAGCTAACTGAGGACAGGGGCCAAGTCTTACCTGTCTTTTTCCTCTGTACCCCAACCCTACCTAATGTTTACAAAGAGCCTTGCATATAGTAGGCACTCAACAAATGTTGATGCGATAAAGGTGCAAAAGATAGAAAGGGGTACCAGTTTTGGACTGACTTCCAACTCAATGCAAATACTAGCGACTAGTCAATATGATATAGTTTGCCCACTCTGGGCATATATAGATATAGATATTACATAGATGATAAATAGGATATATATCATATATGATTGAGATATATAGATACAGGTAAATAAAACAACTCCCAGTTAATCAAAACATCCTTTTTTCTATTCATTATCAATAAATAGGAATTACTGTAAACTAACTTGGAACATACTTGCTAAGGGTCCACTTTCAGAAACACTATAATTAAGGACCCTATGACTTTTCAATGTGCTACAGAACTCACCAAATATAATTCAAATATCTTTACTCCAAGTGACACAGCAAAATATAGTGGAAAGAGTAAAGTACTTAAAAGTCAAGAAGACCTGGGTCCAAATCCTGATTCTGCCACTTCTTAACTGTGTGATCGTGGGTAAATCAGTAAAATGCTCAAGACCTCAGTTTCCTTCTCTGCTAAGTGATGGACTACATCATCTCTAGGCTTACTCCATCTTTAAAAATCCTACAGTTACTTCTTAAGAGTTTTAGATTCTCAAGGTCCCTTTGCTTTAGAAAGGTCCATTGGCCACAATTTATGTTTTAATGCCATAGTCCCTACTTCCACGTTCATCCTTGTCTCCAACTTGCAACTCTTTACACTATGCCAATAATCTATATCCCCTAGAGAGATACTTGGCACAAGCTTCAAATACCACTGCCAATGCTCATAAATTCTCATCCTTCCAGATTGTGGCAGAAAGGAACTGGCCCTACAGTAACTACTCTGGTTACAGAGTACAACTGCAATTCATGGAAGCATTTTGTAAGGAGTGTGTTCCACTGGGGAGGTGAAACATAAAAAGGAGAACTTGGGCTATAAAAAGTTTATTCCTACAATTCCTGATGTTAGTTGAATCATATTTTAATGCAAAAATCCATGAAAGCACCACTCTGGAAATGACATTTGTTACCACCTCATAACTCTTTTCAAAAGGTTCTTCCATCAGAGAGACACCCAGCTACAAATTATAGCTAAGAAAACAAAACTCCTAGACACAGACTTATTAACAGGCCACGAGGAAAGACACCGGGACTCAAGCAAGTGTGAAATAGTTGTTATATCAGCTGTCAGTACATCCAGTTTTAACTCCTTAATTTTACAGGTGAGGAAACTGAGGCACAGAGAGGTGATGTACCATGCCAGGAGCTACACAGCCAGTTAGGAACAGAACTGAGACTAAATTTCACATCTCTTGACTCTGAAGACAATGTACCTCATTGCATCATGCTATGGGGTGGATTTTTCATGCCCATTGAAGGGTTAGTCAAAAATCAAGAATGTTTCACTGCCAATCTCCTTCATTCAATTGAAGTATATTTGTTTTTAAAACTCAGATTCAACCAAACCAATTCAACAAGCGCTTACTAAGTTCTACTATGTGTAATGCACTGTGTTAGACAGACAGCGGATATAAAGACAAAGTGAAAAAGTTCTGCTATCTAGGATGTTATGCTCTCCATCCTATTTTCCCCAGTTCCTGGACTGATCTTACCTTCATGTTCCTTTTCTGTGGTTCCTACTTTCTTGATTTTCTTGGGAGACTTCATGAAGAGAGGGAAGATGGTTCGCAAACCTAAGATGTCAACAAATTTATGGCAGTTGTCAGTACCCTCAGGTCCGATCATAGCATGATCCAATACCTTCAGGGCACTACTTCGAGAGATCTTCTTCTCCCTAGAAAAAGAAAGGGTTTTTTGTAAGGCAAAAAAACAAAAATAATTAATCTGAAGGGGCCGTGTAAAAATGCTCAAAGGAAGGCCACTGAACAGCATTTATCTCATCCTCTATTTAAAGTGAGAGCTGCTTTGTATGGTGGCAAAGAACTGGACATTGAGGCAATGCCCATCAGTTGGGGAATGGCTGAACAAGTTGTGGTATATGAATGTAATGGAATACTACTGTGCTATAAGAAATGATGAGCAGGCAGACTTCAGAAAAACCTGGACAGACTTACATGAACTGAGACTGAGTGAAATCAGCAGAAGCAGGGCAACACTGTACACAGTAATAGCCACACTGTGTGATGACTGACTTTGATAGACTTGGCTCTTCCCTACAATGCAAGAATCTAAGACAACTCCAAAAGACTCAAGATGGAAAATGCTATCCACATCCAGAAAAAGAACCATGGAATCTGAATGCAGATGGAAGCATACTATTTACTCTCCTTTTCTTTTGTTGTTTTGTTTTATTTTTTCCTTCTCCTGGTTCTTCCCATTAGTTCTAATTCTTCTATACATCATGACTAATGTAAAAATATGCTTAATATGAATGTATAAGTACAGCCTATCCCAGATTGCAAGCTGCCTTGGGGAGGGAGGAGGAAGAGGGGGGAGAAAATTTAAAACTCAAAATCTTATGGAAGTGAATGTTGAAAACTAAAAATAAATTATTCTTAAAAATTTTAAATTAAAGAAAAAAAAAGTGAGAGCTGCCTAAACAAGGTTCACAGGAAGCTTCTGCAAATCATTTGACTTTTCAGAGAGTCAAAGAAGGTGACTGAAAGAATGTTACCATCTCTGAGGGATTAAGTTGAGAGCCACTCAACAGGCAAAGGTATATAGGTCGGCTACAACACTTTACCAACAAGGAATTATGCAAGAGAAAAAAAGAAAAGGATGTCAGAGAAATGAAAAACAAGAGAAGGTGAGCCAGTCACATGGATTAAGGGAGGAGTAACTGAGAGACTACATCCACACTCCTCAGTACTCATAAAATGTCAAGAGACAGAGAACAAGTTCCCTGACAGAGTAAATGGATCCCTGGACAAGAGCTGCACAACTTAAGAAGGTGTGGTTAGGTCATGATATGTAGTAGTGTAGCAAGTACCTACATCGAGGAGATCACCAATCCATCCAAGTACAAAAGCATACATCTAAATGTTAAAGGTGTAGTACTACCTCACTCCAGGAGCTTGAATAGTCAAGAAGAATACTCAGTTAAAGAAGAATTTACCTTCAGAATATGGTCTCTTGTAACAATCCTAATATAGCAAGTTATAGTTTCAAAGCTTATAAATATTTCATTTGCTCTTTGTAATGGCCCTATACAGGACAGTTACTATAATCACTATTTTACAGGTGAGAAAACTGAGGCTTATCAATGCCTGCCTCCAAGATCAAGTAGCCAGCAAGTTGCAAAACTGGAATATAATCCAAGTCTCTTCACTCCAAAACTGCTCTTTTCAAACCCAGCCAGGCCAACGATTCATCCAGCAAAGTGTTCTGTCTCAGGAGGTAAGACAACAAGGCAGTTTGTGAGAGGGCATGACAGTGGACCCCATCTAAAAAAGTTAACCTTTCCAACTCCCCTTTATTAATTCAACATGGATTGATTAAAATGATCAACCAATACCTTCATATCTCCATCAACAGCTGCAGCATAGTGGAAAGAGCACTGGATCATGAAGCTGACTTGAGGTCTAATCTTAAACTTTGCCACCAACTACATGTTATGACCTTGGGTAACTTCTCCCTCTGTGAAATTTTATACAGGAGTTGAACTAGAAGAACTCCAAGGGCCTTCCAATGCTACTACTCTATGAATTCTTGAGTTTCAAAAGTTTAGTACAGGATAGACATGGTTCTGAAATCTAAAATAAAATGTGGCATGCCCCAAGATGCAACACAACTGAAATTCTAACTTGAAAGTTGGATAAATTAATGTGTTCAATCCCATATACCACTGTTGCTGTTGTTCAGTTGTTTCAGTCATGTCCAACTCTTCACGACCCCATCTGGGGTTTTCTTGGCAAAGATACTGGAGTGGTTTGCCATTTCCTTCACCAGCTCATTTTACAGATGAGGAAACTAAGGCAAACAGGGTGAAGTGACTCACCCAGGGTCACACAGCTAGTAAGTGTCTGAGGCCAGATTTGAACTCAGGAAAATGAGCTTTCCTGATCCTAAACCCAGTGCTCTATCCAAAGCATCTACCTGCTCTCCCTCCCCATGTAACTAGTTTAGCACTTAACTTGATATGAGATGAAATATTATTATTTCCCTCAGATTATTACTGTAATAAGACAAACAGAAATTAAGAAATTGGTACAGTCTATCCCTATTGTCCTCATTGTTCTCCTGTGTGGCCAGACACCACTTGAAATGAATGCCTATCACAAAATAGGGTATTTTTGGTTACATGTTCACCACAAATTCAAACCACTCCATGAACATCATAAAATTATTGCATGGATTAAAATGAAAGTCACCTATCTAATAAAGTTTCTCTCATTTTCTGGCCTAGGTAAATTTAGCAAAAGAAAACTTTAAAAACAAAGCTCTTTTCCAAGGGGGTAATATAAGGAACATTTAAAGGGACAGTAATTGTATATTGATCACCATTTAGGCAACCTGCAGAGAAGTGAACTCTGGAATATTCATTAGCCTTAAGTTCAGGCTTTTAGTGATCAATAGCTGTTTGGCTGGACTATCATGGGTTGACTTTATCTGAAATATTTATTCTACTGGAGCACAAGCAGTTTATCTTAGTATCGCCTGGGTTCATCAAGTTGTCTTTCATTCAACTACCAATTCAGAAACAGCCTATATGACTTCTAGTGATTGCAGAAATATCTCAGAGAAACATTTCACGGATGCCCGTTTTCCTTCCCATTATACTTTTGGAAGAGTTTTTAAAAAGTTCATTTTTTTCTGACTGGCTTGTTCCAACTGTACCATGCTCTCTGCCATGAACCACTACTTCTTCTCTTACATCCATTTACTGTGATGTGACCGTGTCTCACAGCTGACCAAGTTTCAAGAAGTACAGTCAACAATCTATGAGATTAGCCTTACTTGATGCACGACATATGTCTTTTAAAGTTTACAAATAAAAGTTGCCTTTCATTTTAAGATTCCAAAACACATCATTTCCCAGGCAGGACGCCAAGAGTTCAGTTGGACCAAGACTACAGACATCTACAAATAGAACTGGAGAAATACCCTGGCTTTTGACTCACTCTACCAATGGGTTCCCCTTATATTTGATTGGGAATTAAGATTACATGGATTACAAGATTACATTATCAAGGAAAATAGTTAGTTCCAAGCCACTAGACCCTAAATCATCCCCTCACCATGAAATCTTGATTCAGTAACTTTGCCTCACAGCCATCACGGTTTCTCATTTGTGAAATGGCTAGGCCAGCCTCGAGGGCTGTTGGAAGCATTACTTTATGTTTGCGGAGTGTTTTCCTGATTCCCAGCTAACAGGTGCAAACTATTACTATCCATCCAGGAGAGAAAAGAGCTACTCAGCTTGGGAAGGGGGTGGGGGAGTGGGAGGAGAAGAAAGGCAACATTTGTTGTTGGTAGAACAACAAACAAACCTGTGCGCACAGCTTGGAGCACAGAAGTGTAGACAGTCCTGTCAGGAAGGATGACTCACTTCAAAGACGTTTGGATTGCTATTTTCCTTGTGCACCTGAATCCCAGGGGATGCGAGACTAGAAAAGAAGGGGCCCCTGACTTTTTTTTTTTTTTAATGAAAACATGACCAAAAAAATGCAATATAACAAACTGGCTTGTAGCTCATTCAAAACAACACCCCATAAATAAAATCAAACAAAAATCACACAACCCAGGCTAAACTTTTCAACACTAATCTATGTGCTCTGACAGAATCACACAGTTCAAAACAATGGGAAAGATTTATTTTGTATATAACATATCTACTTTATTCGTTTTTTCCTCTATCAGGAAGGGTTTTTTGCATGTTAACAAAAACAACACAATCAACTCAGAATAACAACAACAAAACCCCTATCATCCTCAGAATGGAGGTACTGAGCCATTTTCTCCCCCTTTTTTGCTTTCAGTTAATATCTGAGACAGGTTCACCGCATTTCTGCTACACAACCCAAAGATGCTTCTGTACACATCCCTTGGGAACAGAGTAGTCTCTTCTCTCTCTAACTGGAACAGGGTTTTACAACAAAAGTAATAAGTCTCATGTCAACATTTTCAAGGAAACTGACAATGTAATTCTCCTATTTTTCCCCTCCTTTGTTGCTTTAAAAAACAAACCAAAAAAAAAAAAGAAACCACAAAAAACCACCACACCTATTTTGCTCCAAGGACAAATAAGGGTTTTATGTTTGTAAGAACTGAGTGATTTGGGGAAATACACTTTAATTAAGCCCAGCATTTCTGAACCTTTTTTCTGTGGCAACTATCTTAAAGACTGTTAATATCTGCAACCAACATGCTCGACTTAGAGTCAAGAAGAGCTGAATTCCAATCCAGCTTCAGACACTTACTACCTGTGAGACCTTGGTCAAGTCACTTAACCACTTATTGCCCCAGTTTCCTTCAACTGTAAAATGGGGATAACAATAGCACCAACTTCACAGGTTTGTTGTGAGATCCAAATGAAACATTTATAAAGCACCTGGTATAGTGCCTGGCACAAAGAATACTGTTAATAAATGCCTCTTAAGGAAAAATCATCCAGCTGCACCCCAGTTTCATTCAGTGGCAAAGAGCACATCTTCTACAACTTAATCTCCTGCTGCACCTCAACTACTATTTTCCACTTTTGTCTATACATGCATTTTTGTTTTGGTCACTGTCATAGACCACCAAGGTTTTAGGGAGCTTTTAAAAACTGCACAATCTTAATTTCCCCACATGTGAATACTCTCCCCCAATCTCCCACCTGCAAAAGTATCAATC